CCCTTCTTCAGAAAATTTTCTGAAGAAGGGTCTAGGCCCGAAACGTCAGCCGCCTTGCTCCTCTGATGCTGCTTGGCCTGCTGTGTTCATCCAGCTCTACACTTGTTATCTCAGATTCTCCAGCATCTGCAGTTCCTACTATCTCACTTCAAAGCAAGCTTAATCAGATGCAAGATATTCATATATTGCTGAGCTTCATAAGATCTGGTTGACTTTTCTTTACATTTTAATTTAAATAATACTGTCATAGATTGTGCTTTTTTGACCTAGATGATAAACATCTTCTTTGAGTTGTTGTAAGGTGAAACTCTTTCTTCACAAACTGAAGAAAAAGCATGGAGCAAAGCAAGATTATATAAAGCTGACAAAGGCATTGTTTGACTCGTTTCTTGCCATTATGTGGATTTAAACAAATTGCCAGCAACCTCCTCCTAGATGTCAATCCATAACAATAAGAATTTCATTTATACAGCATATTTAACATTGCAAGACAATCCATTTAGAAACTCAACACTAGGAAGATTTAGAAATCAACTATGATTTCACTACTTTAGTGTGTCTGTGCAATTCACGAGCAAATACTCAGAAACAGTTGAGTCCGCAGTTTCACATCTACTGTAAAGATACCATCAATTATTTTTAAAATTATCTTATAGCATGTTAAAATGAGTGTTTTTTGAGTGAAGTATGATTCTGTATTAATAGACGAATAACAGTTTAAGTGTTCTGTAATCTGAAACGAGAGTTCAATCTTCCACTTATAAAGTTAATTAGCAGAGTAAATGGAGGAACCATTAATTGTGATGCCAAGCTATGTAGTTTTGTGGATTATTGTGATTGGATTGCCTTCATAAGAAATTTGACTTATTAGCACCCTTTATTAGTGTTCTTAGAGTTTGAAAATATGTACGTGGCACGCATGTGCACACGTGCGCGCGCACACACAAGCACACACACCCCCCCCCCTTGTGGGATGAATTGCTCTAGACAGCATATTGGTGAATTGTTAGTCCATGTGCAGTGAGTATTTGAAACAAACACGGAGAAACTCAGCAGGGCTGGCAGCATGTGTGGAGAGAAACAGAATGAATGTTTCAAGTCCTTATGAGTTTCTTTAGCATTCTCTTTATTTTCAGATTTTTAGCATCTGCAATATTTTGCTTTTATTCACAGTGAATATCTGCTGTAATATATACAGAGGAGACAGATCATGAAGTCAGTCATCATGAAATCTGACTTGATGTTCATGAAGCCTTTTTGGAGACAACACTTACCTCTGTGCAGTTGACCTCACATTAAGCAGCAGAAAGAACCCCAACCAGTGCTATCCAAATACATTATCAACTATTTAAAGTTTCATTGCTATCTGATTAATTTTGGTCATTTCTACAATTCTATAGGTGTTTGATACTTTTCGTGGTTGATTTAAGTTTGAAATGTCTACAGAAGTTTGCTAAAGCGATTGTTGGCCTTAACGAGTCCCCTTGGACTAGAGCAGGACTGCAACCTCAGCAGCATAAGAATCATGTTGCTAGGGCTTTGAAGATAATAACGGCAATGAAATTTTGTGTGTCAGGATCCTTCTAAGCTAAAACTGGAGATATTTGTGGAAATTTCAAAGTTTACCATGCACAGTTTCATGTCACAAAACTTTCTGTTTAAAGATTACCATTGAAGGAATGGATTGTAAGCTCTGCGCAGTGCCTTGTGTCAAATTGTTGATGGGCTGCTGCAGAGTTCTCAATGCATCAACCATTTTGTTCTGCATACCAGCAGTGTTCTTTTCGAGGTTGCCCATTAAAGTCCTCAGTTGAGACCTGATGGCATCATTAAAGAATGTCAAGTGAGCTTCAAAGTCTGAGGAAGGGTGACTGGACCCAAAACATTAACTTTGATTTCTCTTCACTGATGCTGCCAGACCTGGTGAGCTTTTCCGGCAACTTCTGTTTGAGCTTCACAATAGCAGCTTGAATAGTTTCAAATTGTGGTCCCCACTCAAATTTTTGGGAACTACCCAATACTTAGCCCAAATTTAAAATTGCATATTGGATCTTTTGAGCTACAACTCTTCAAATGTATTGTTTCTTTTTTGAAATTAATTGAGTAGATATAATCTTCAGAGAAGATGTCTTATTCATGACTTTTGCCATAAATTTATTGCTGATGCCCTATATCTTTTTTGTCATTTTAATAGGTGTCAAGATGAAATCCACAAGAACTCAAACTGCATCATCGGCACTCAAGAAAGCCATAACCACCCCAGGGAGAGAGCAGCACATCTCTGTTCCAGATTTTCAGAGCAGCCAATACTTGTTTAGTCCATCACACCAGATGCCATCAACATCACCTATTTCAGGCCCAATTGAAGGACAACTTGTCCCAATGGCTGTTGCCCTAGGTATGTTGAAATTTAAACTTGATTATCAGAAGTGGTTATTTCTGTTCCAAAAATGATAAAGTTCTGTCTTGATCATTGTCTATCTTCTGTATTCTTCCTGTAATAGATTCGTTCTTCATTTTCTGAGATAATTTGGTCCAATGATGAATATGTATATATTTGAGTACAGGATGATGATAGAGTTGGAAACTCTCTCCTTCTGAGTTTGTGTCTTTAAATCTCGACAGAGAAGCATAAACAGATTGAAGTTTTATGTTTATGTAGCTATTATTATGTGAAATGTGAAATGGTGAAATAAAAGCGGACTAAATATCATGACCACAGGCAGTTGTGAGAAAGTGTGCCCATGCATTTTTTTTTATAATGCTAGAAGCTGAGTCTAGACATTGCCAGCATTTGATCCTTTACCAGGTATGCTTAACACTCTGTTCTATTTCGGCATTATTTAATATTCTGCTATATTTTGTGCTGTGTATCTGAGCAGTCAGTGGAATCAGAGTACTGGAGCATTGGAAAGGCCAGTATTTGTTGTTCATCCCTCATTGCTCTTGAAATATAGGGAGAGCTAACCATTTGGATACATAACTAGCTTGAAGGTAGGAGACAGCGAGTGCTGATGGAGGGATGCTTTACAGATTTAGAGGCCTGTGACCAGTGGTGTGCCACAAGGGTCGGTGCTGGGTCCGCTATGGTATGTCATTTATATAAATGATTTGGATGTGAACATAGGAGGTATAGTTAGCAAGTTTACAGACAACTCCAAAATTGGTGGTGTACTGGACAGCCAAGAAGGCTACCTCAGAGTACAACGGGACCTTGATCAGATGGGCTGAGTAGTAACAAATGGAGTTTACTTTAGATAAATGTGAGGTGCTGCATTTTGGCAAAGCAAGTTAGGGCAGGACGGGTACACTTCATGATAAGATCCTACAGAGTGTTGCCAAACAAAGAGACCTTGGAGTGCAGGTTCATTAGTTTTCTGAAAGTGGAATTGCAGGTAAAAGGATAGTGAAGAAGGCGTTTGGTATGCTTGCCTTTATTGGTCAGTGCATTGATTATAGAAGCTGGGAGGTCATGTTGCGGCTATACAGGACCTTGGTTAGGCCACTTTTGGAATACTGTGTTCAATTCTGGTCTCCCAGCTATTGGAAGGATGTTGTGAAACTTGAAAGGTTCAGAAAAGATTGACAAGGATGTTTCCAGGGTTGGAGGGTTTGAGGGTTTGAGCAATAGGGAGAGGCTGAAAAGACTGGGACTGTTTTCCCTGGAGTATCAGAGGGTGAGGTGTGACCTTATAAAAGTTTATAAAATCATGAGAGGCATCCATAGGGTGAGCAGCAAAGATATTTTCCCCAGGGTAGGGGAGTCTAAAACTAGAGGGCATAGGTTTAAGGTGAGAGGGGAAAGATTTAAAAGGGGCCTAAGGGACAACTTTTTCTCACAGAAGGTGGTGCATGTTTGGTACGAGCTGCCAGAGGAAGTGGTGGAAGCTGGTACAATTACAACATTTAAAAGGTATCTGGATAGGTACATGAATAGGAAGTGTTTAGAGAGATATGGGCCAAATGAGACTAGATTTATTTAGGATGGGCGTTCAGCATGGACGAGTTGGACAGAAGGGTCTGTTTCTTTGCTGTACATTTCCACGACTCAAACTGAATTGAGTACTTTGCGGGACTATTTCAGAGGACATTTAAGAGTCAACCATGTTACAGTGGATTTGGAATCACATGTAGGACAGACCAAGTAAGGATGGCTGTTTCCTTCCCTAAAGGACATTAGTGAGCCAGATGAGTTTTGACCAACAATTAGCAATGGATTCATGGTCATCTTTAGACTCCTAATTCCAGATTTTTTTAAATTGAATTCAGATTCCACCATCTGTGGTGGCAGGTTTTGATCCTGGGTCCTCAGAACATTATCTGGTTCTCTCTGGATTAACAGTCCAGCAATAATACCACCAGGCCATCACCTCCCCACGGCGAAAACCTTGTGCAGCAAATGGTAGTGACTTGGACCTTGCTACTGGTTTTATCTTGTGTGTTTCCATGATCTTCAAATGGCAGCAGAATAACATTGTAACTTGGGCTTGAACTCTCAAACAAATTTAACATACATTAAACAAACAACAAAATAGTAGCAGCCTCACAACATGTCTTTTATAGGAGTTTTTAATAATTAGCTTGCTCCTTGAATAAATAGAAGATGATACTCTGCAATTACTGCACTAAATGTTGTAACTTATTTTACAGTATAAAACATTTCCTTTGTACAGTAGCTGTCTGGGCAATAGAAAGACTTTTGTCTGTCTGATAGGTATTCTGCTTCAAGTAAAACTATTGAATAAATACAAGATAAAAATATTATGGATACTGGAAATCTGAAATAAAGACTTAAAAGCGCTGGAAAAACTCAATTCGTTTGACAACATCGTCGGAAAAATAAATTGGAACTCACAAAAGTTAGAAATACGAGAGGTAGTGGAAAAGAGAAAACAAAAAAAAAGGAAGCACTTTGATGGAATAGACTGTAGGAATGATTAAGTGACAAAGAGGATCATCATATAAGTCAAAAAGAGTTGATAATGACACTAGTTAAGTCAGAAATGTTGGATCTAGAGCAACTTCAGGATTCTACCAATGTTTCATTTACTGATATCCATGTTTTGAATTAGACAATAAAAGACTTTCAGAGATTTACAGGAGTTTTATTGTAAATCTGTAGTTTAGCACAAGCATCAATTTCCATGTTTCCCTGTCCAAAAGTCCACCCCACAGGGAAAGAACTCCACTCTTAAAAACTAAGTCCCAATGAGCATTACCTACACTCAATTAATTATGGAGCTGTTCTGTTTAAACCTAAAGGGACCTCCATTTTAACTCTGACAGACTTATTTTTAGTTAAAGAAAGGTTGTATTTATACCAGGGTACATAGGTCTAAAAACACAATTTCAGATTCTCACAATTAGATACATCCTTCTTCAAGAATCTTCAACAATTTTTCAGTAGAGGCATTTATCTTAATGAAACAATCAAATGCTGATGACAAGTATCAACCCACCTTAGATTTGTGATTTCTTTCTTCTCCAGCATCTGCTTTAAACTGACTATATCGATCATAAGCCTTTATTGACTTGCACCTTTTGTAAAATGTACATTAAAGACTAATTATCTATGTAACATTGTATTGGTATTGTTCTTTCAATGTGCTCTTCTTCACTCTTATTTTCTTTGTCTCATATACTAAGGGGCAGCTTTTCCCAACTTTCCTCACAAGGAATGTCATAAATTCTCCAGCGCTGGAATTTTTTTAAAGCTTTATTTTCTCTTGAGGTATAGTTTATCTTTTGATATTTCATGGCCTAAATAAGTTGCAGCACATGAAAACTTGCATCTGGTCTGGTCTGTGTGCCTAACCAGTTGAGCTGTCTGACAATACACCTCAATTATTCTAGCTCATCCTGGATAATAGCCCCATCTTTCTGTTCATATGTGGTATGACTAATTGCAGTAGCATCAACATTTTTCAAATAAGTTTCTTGGTATAGAATTACATTTGACTCACCATGTTTCATTTTCAAACCCACATAATTTGAAATCTCCAGAAGCTTGACTGCCAGTTTTGAATTCCTTCATAATTTGATAGATAATTTTTTCTTCCAAGTAATTGATCCTCCCCACCAAAACTTGTTTACATGCATCATAAAGATGCCCAGAAGTTTTCAAGTATAATGCCAATAGAACATTGCCAGATCTGCTTTGAGTTCTGAACATTACCTAATGTTAACAGGAGTCTCCTCACTGAAAATACCACACCCAAAAAGCATTGTTTAATCCAGAGACATTTATGCAATTTACAGAACTTCCTCTCTGTTCCTGTTGCTACATTTGCAGGCTATATGAACTTTTCCCTTGATCAAGTTATCCTGAAGGAATGTAAACAAAAAATACTGGAAATCATAATGGGTCAGGCAGCATCCATGGAGAGAGACCAAGCTGATGTTTCTAGTCTAGATGACTCTTCACCAGAACTCTCTCCATGGATGCTGCCTGACCCACTGTGATTTCCAGCATTTTTTGCTTTCGGTACAGTTTCCATCATCTGCAGTAATTTGCACCTACCTCCAAGAAGAGATCAGTAAAATCGCTAAAAAGTTGTTCAAAACCATCTTTTCCGCCATGGGAGAATATATTTTTGGTAATTGATCCCCACAGAATTACTTTTTCATGATCTTCACAATATGTATTCCCTGAGCACTTATGTCCTACCCCTCTGCTTCACAGTCGTAAAATTCATGCATGCAAAGTACATGGTGCCTCATCATCAACACCTCCTCCTGATACCTGTTTTGTATTATGTAAGTTTTTCTGTCATGTCCAATTTTTTCTGGATTTTTCCTCTTGTCCTTCTCTGTCATAGTAAACCAGATCACCAGATCTGAAAACTTCTCTAGGCAGAATGATGCAATGTCTCAATGCTCTGCTAACTATTTCTGATACCCTAGGTTTAAAAAATGTTTTTTTACAATCATATAGCACATTTAGTTGAATGCAAAAAGTCAAGCTAATCATTGTTACTTGAGGGTCGTCATGCAGTATTGACAGCAAATATAAGCAATTTTTTTGCATGTACTGCCCATGCCAGTACTGTTTGTAACTTACAGTTTAGCTGATCTGCCAGTATTTTTTGCCACAGCTCATCAATTCATTCAACTCATGGGTTCTTTCCCACAAGCCACTGCTGAACAAATTTCCTGTACCAGTATGCATATTATAATATTTCAGTTCTCCCTCAAGTCCTGAAATCTGTCATTTACAACTTCACCCCCACTATCTGTTAAGAACTTTTTTATTGACCCAAGGCCTGTGCGGACCCACTTTTCCACGACTTTGTACACTATAATCCATCCAATCATGGATTTGCTAAACCAGGTCAGCACATTTACAACAAAAGCAGAAATTGCTGGAAAAGCTAAGCAGGTCTGGCAGCATATGTGGAG